TTGAATACGCCAACATTTACCATACGGGGGAATCATTGTTTCACAAAGAAATCTTGTTTTCTAAAAAAACATTATTATTGCAAATTTCATTTGATTGGTTTGAGCTATATTTTGTTTCTCCATGTGTATTTTACACATAAATAGCCACAGCACGCGAAAATTTTGTCTTGTTTCTAAAAAAAAACCAAATAACTATCCTAAGTAAATAAAGAGTCGCGAAAGCATAGTGATCTACAGTTCATTTACAGTATTATCATGTAGGTACGTTTAACAGAATGAATCATCATTTAAAAAAACTTAAACTTTTGCCATACCTGCGCACCGTTATATTCACAGGAATATTCATTACGAGCAAATCCTTTGGGTAATACCATTTTTCATCCTTTGTCTACCTTTTTCATGGTTGACAATCTGTTTGTTGGCAAATTTTAACCTTGCCCATTTTAACCTTTTGCAAACATTCACCAAACTTTACACCTTGTTATTTGTACAATTGGTGTTTTATTTTACTTTACATGTGTATTCAATTGATAAATATTTTATTCTCGAGCATACTTTATACATAAATACGACGGCGTATTAGTGCCATTTTAACAATGTAGAATTTTTTTTTTAAATCGTTTGTAAAACTGAACACTTAGTTGTGCTAGGGTTTATTATCAACTGTGTACAAACGTTCTAAAGATACAATAGCTTTATTAAATCCCCTGATTTATTAAATTAACCCTTAATAAATTGTACAAACGATTTAATAAATTGTACAAACGATTTAACAAATTTTAAAACACTGTAACCTGGTCATAATCTTTGAATTTTTTATGTTTGGATTTTCATATTTCACAGGTATATTCATTAAGACAAGTCTTTTCTTCGGGTAACAACATTTTTTTTATCTCTTGACCTTTATTTGAAATCGCATTTGAAAAGTTTTTAAATTGCCAAAAGATGAACAAACAAATTGTACAACACATTTATTTTCCGTAGAATTTTAAAGAATACATTATAAAGAACCATTAGAAATATGAATAATGTTTATAAATCGTACAAACGATTTACTAAATCAAAACAGATTTAAAAAAATATCTACATTGTTAAAATGGCACAATACGCCGTTAAATAACCACAAAAAAATTTTGTCCTTTGTTAAATTTGTCAAAAAACAAACTATCCTACGTAAATAAAGTGTTGCGAAAATATAGTGATCTACAGTTCATTTACAGTATAATTATGTAGGTACGTTTAACAGAATGAATCATTTTTATTTTGATGCCCCCGTAATCGAAGATTCGAAGATATGTAGTTTTTGCCCTGTCCGTCCGTCTTTCTAGCTGTCTGTCTCTCTGTCTAGCTGGTTGTCTGTTTGTCGGGCAAATTTTAACCTTACCCATGCATAACTTTTGATTGGTTTAAACTATGGTTTTCATATTTCACATTGTATCCTTTATGAGAACTTCTGTCTTTGGGTTCCAACATATTTGACCTAGCTCTTGACTTTGCAGTTTAACCTTTTGCAAGCATCCACCAAACTTTAACATTGGTCACAGCTTTCGGACAGTTAATGTTAATGCTTTTATACTTTACATGTGTATTCAATGTGATAAGTTCTTTCCATGGATAAATATTTTATACTTTTTTTTACCTTGACCTTTGAGTTTGACTCGCTTTAAAAAATTTAAACTTTTGTCATACCCTTTTAATGGCTAGTGCTTGCGCTTTCGTAATTCACAGGAATATTTATTTAGGAGCAAATCCTTTGTTCAGGTAATAACATTTTTCATCCCTTGACAATCGAGTTTGATTTGCATCTGAGATATGTTTTTACCTTCGCCAACATTTGCCATACGTGGGAATCAGCGTTTCACAAACACATTTTGTTATTCGTAAGGATTTTATTTACTTGTAATTGTCAGAGTCAGTCTGGCGAATATTTTATTCTCGAGTATATTTTTTACATAAATAACCACAACATGCGAAAATATTGTCTTGTTTCTAAAACAACAAATAACTATCCAACGTAAATAAAGTGTCGCGAAAATGTAGTGATCTACAGTTCGTTTACAGTATAATTATTTAGGTACGTTTAACAAACTAAATCATATTTTTATGCCCTCGTAATCGAAGATTCTGAGATATGTAGTTTTTGCCCTGTCCGTCCGTCTTTCTGTCTGTCTACCTGTTTGTCTAGCTGGTTGTCTGTTTGTTGGCAAATTTTAACCTTGCCCATGCATAACTTTTGATTTGTTTAAGCTATGGTTTTCATATTTCACATTGTATCCTTTATGACAACTTCTGTCTTTGGGCTCCAACACATTTGACCCAGCTCTTCATCTTGCAGTTTAATCTTTTGCAAGCGTTCACCAAACTTTAACCTTGTTCATACACTATAGCTTTGAAACAGTTGGTGTTAATGCTTTTATACTTTACATGTGTATTCAATGTGATAAGACCTTTCCATAGATATACATATTTCTCATCTTCTCACATTGACTTTTGAGTTTCACTCATTTATAAAATTTTAGTTTTGACAAAACTGCAATTTTTATTATTTAACTGTGTAGTTCTAAAGATATCTAATAGTTCCCCTGTAATATGCATTTTTTTGAGTTTGACCTACATTTTAAAACCCTGTAACCTGGGTCATAACCTTTGATTTTTTTTTATGCTTGGACTTTCATATTTCACAGGTATATTCATTAAGACAAGCCTTTTCTTCGGGTAACAACATTTTTTATCTCTTGACCTTGGAGTTTGATTCGATTCGCATTTGAGAAGTTTTTAAACTTTGAAAAGCTGGCTCTTAAACTGGTTTTCCTAGAATTTTCCCAAAGAATACATTATAAAGAACCATTAGAAATATGAATAATCTATTTAAGTCCAAAAGTCCAGCAATTAAAGAAAGGATGGGCAAATCATCTCGACAAGAGTCCATCATTAAAAAAACTTAAATCATTTTAAATTTGTCATTCAATCCAAAGATAGGAATCTACTCCATTGCAATTTGTTTTCAAAATTATTTACTCAGTGTCAAATGTAGTTGTGAGATTAAACTAGAAGATACTTATTTAGACATTCACATATAAATGCACTAATCTGACTTAATTTTGTCTATGAACTTGAACAATAGACATGTATATACATGTAATTATAACCGAGTACAAGACATATTTCAAGATGACGTTAACGACATATTGATGGTGTTAAAGATGACGTTTACATAGGCCACGGACAAAAATTCTATTGTTATACATATATAGGAATGTATGATATCACATAGAACTTAAAGATCACTGTGGCATTTAAGCAAAGTAAAATTAAAAATATACATGTATTTTAAGTTACACACGGCAACAGGTTAAAGATAATTGTCGTATCATTATTAAGTATTACTAAATCATAATAATATATTTTTTTCATAGAAGAGAATAAAGCAATAAATTAAAACAAATGGTAAGACTAGTATTGTATATTTGTTTTGTATCAAATTAAGAAAATCCAGTGTTCCTGTAGTGGGTAAAATTACCAAGCAAATGGCGTTTAAATTGTCATTTAGAAAAGGGTATTTGACCAATCAGAGCTTGTTTGATGAGTTTATTGTAAGAAAATCTCTGATCGGCAGTTTTATTTATACCGGGCAGAGGAATCAAGTGGTCTAATTGCAATTGTTAGCATCTTAATTTAAAATTAAACAAATCTAATTCAATATTAGCTAGTAACTTCTTTAAAATTTAATTTGGATTTAAAGTTATAAAATTGAATTTATATTGTATAATTAAATACACTGAATTTTATAGTTTTAATTTTAAAATTTCATCGAACCGCAGATTTTAATATCTCCCTGTGAGTTTTGTGTATAAAGATTAAAGAATAAAATTCATGATTTATTCATTGATAATTCATTAGGCTTTGGTCTTACTCATTATTCTTTACAATATATGACGGCTTATCAGTCGCCTCAGTGGTGCACCTTATTATCCTCTCGAAACGGGGAATTTTTTTTTTTAAATTATTTTTCCCTCGCAACGGGGATATATGTTGGCGTGTGGGTTAGTTCATGTTTGAAAGCGTAACGGAAGTGACATACATGTAATTTGCATTTAGATCGATGTTGAAATCTGCTTTAAAAATGAATAGTTTTTATAAGCCACATTGCTTCATCCAAAATTGTGAAATAAATGGTCCTAGGGTCATGAGTTCCTATGGGATGGGTGCTCTACTGAGTATATAGAAATTTTTTTTGATTATACGGTTATGCTACAGCCTATTAAGTAAACAAACAAAGTGTATAGATATGATTAGCAAGGGTGCCTTTTTCAAAATTTTGAATTCCGTGGCCTCGTTGTTTTAAAAACAAATTAAGTTCATATCTGGGAAAGTTGATTTCAGGTAACCTATAAAGCCCTTGGTCCTCTTGTTCAAAAATATTGATAGTGCTGGTCATAATCTTTGTAAATAAGCCAAGGAAGGCTCATTCGTGACTGCAATAAGATTTATATTTTAAATAAGCCGCTCATGTTAATTAGAGCTAATAATTATCTTTTTGTCACATTGTTTATTACACTGCGCTTCTTTGCGACATCGTCCAAAATACTTTCATCTTTTAGAGTCCGTTACCTTAGCAACATCGCTTTTTATGACTAATGCGGAATAAAATCAATACCTGAAATAATTAATAAATGTGAATGACTTCTGTATTTTCTTTTATCTTTCTGATGTTAATTAATAATACAATTTATAAAAATGGTAAAAAAAAAAAAAATGAGTCAAATTGACGAGGGCGAAAAATGCGACATATTTTTCACGAAACGAAAATGACCCATTAATATACGACCTGCATTTGTTTTCACAATCAGAGAAGTACGATAGAATGTTATACCTTCATTCCATTATATCTTTACGCGAAAAAAATAGATTTTTTCTAGATATTGATGATACTTTGATAGATATTTGTACTAATATTAATTCTAGCACTTTTTATGTTACATGTAATTGTTATTTTTTAGATGAAGAGTGTACATCACACAAGTTTTTCCCAGAGGAACATGAGCTAAAGAAAGATAAAAAGACCGACATACAACTCGTAGGTAAGAAATTGCATGGATTTGAGAGTAATTCTGGCAATCTGCCGCATCATGCCATTCCCTGACTAGTTTCCATTCGGCTAAAGTATCTTAGTATCTTCAGAAGATGTATTTGAGGTACATTTGAAGTACATCGCTAAAATTTAATTTATTTGTATCGGTCGCCTATGTTTTTCTTGCTTAAACATTCGGAATATCTTGTTTTTGGTACCATTAAATACATCAATAATCGAAGCAAATATACAGAGTTTAGATGCTCACTAAATTGAGAATCTATGATATGGTATTAATATTTGAATCAATCGGATGTCTGTTTACGTTAACAGAAAACGGTAAACAGCAATGTATACGTTACTTTTAATCCAAACAATATTACAAACCTTCTGTATTTAAAACAGAATTCTTCATTTCGGTGCAGTAAGAGTAAATCAATTATTTACGGTCGTAACTTCAGATCCATTGCTGAAATCACTATAAAATTTAATAAAGAAGTATACTTCTACAAAGAGGATTAGAAGAAATAAAAATCTTTCTGATCTATTTTGCTACAATTTCGAAATAAAAGATGAAAGATCAACATTATTATGAATGTTTGCTTTGAATGTGGCAGTGTACATATATATAAAAAGTTCGCAAACTATCTCTTTATCTACAAAACCACAATTCAGATTTACACACATAGCCATACACAGGGTCTATAAATAGCATATGCTGAATAAAGTTTCTCTCCTTGTTTGTGACGTCACAATGTGAAAATGAAGTTATTTGATTGTGGCGAAAAATGGTTGTCACCCTTAACTCGTTCAACAAACGACTGTACAATTTACAATATCACATCCCTCATATCATATAATAATTTGTTTTATTGAGATAAATATTCTGTAACTATTAATGATTGTATTAATCGTTTTAGTGAAGGAAGGCTGATGGTAAAAATGATTTGACAGTGAAAGCAAGTAATGTTTTTTGATTAAGCAATTTGCTATCAAAGACCTCCAATTAGCACTTTGAAAAATAGTGAATATTTGAACAATGATATAAGTATTAAATACCTATATCGTTTACTTTAGATTTTAAACATATTGCATGCTGAAAAGATAAGTTCATTGAATCTCTTATTTGTTTTAATGCTGCAAATTTTTGGAAAGGATTTTCATCCAATTCTGTCCCAATCACTGTAAAAAAATAACTGTTCTTGTCATAAAAATTAACTCACATGGAAAGAAATATGTGACAGTAAATTTACTGTCCATACAATATCACGTGATTCGCGCATAAAAGTGGTTGATGTGCATTAATTTCCAGATAATTTAAAATATAATCAATTTTAAAACCAAATATTATTTCTTGATAAGATTCAATTAGTAAATTTTTGAACCCCTGATATAAGTATATATACTTTCACTAGGAATCATCGATGTTCGCGGGGGACCAATGTTTGTTGATTTTTGGGGTCACCCTTATTCACGAATTTACATCACATCATACAATTGTTTTTCGTTGAATATTCTGTATATATGAGTTACACACGCATTAAAATCATGAAAGTTTACATAATCACGACGTCAAGTAAGCATGTTACGAAACACACTTGCAGCTAAATTCATATCTAGGTTTCAGCTGCAAATCAAATTTTCAGTGAACACTTTGTGCAGATTTTGAAAATTAATTATTTTTTGTTGACAGATTACGTAAGGACGGGATCAGCCTTTGCAATAATTTCCCTGTTAATAATGTTGCTTGGCCATATGTTTGCGTTCTATACGCTAAGAAGACCACGATATATTGTAAAACGTCTTACCTCTCTTATGCATTTCATGACAGGTAAGTTCCGTTTATAGCTCACTGTAAGAAATCGTCAAGCTCGGGCATCTTTGTTAAATTATATTTGTTAAAATATATTTTAAGATCACCTTGAGTATCTCAAGTGATCTAGCTATTACTATCTGTTTTTGTCCGTCTTCATCCGTCGTCCATCGCTTGTAAACCTTCGAACATTTTCAGCATCTTCTGTTGAACGCTGAACCACTTTTGGCAAATAGCATCGATGGGTAGAGGATTTTTTCCCCAAATTTGTGAGTACCATAACCCCTGGGTAAGAGCTTCTATTTGTGTTAAGTTAGGGCTCTATAGATATTCTTTACTATTTGGTGTGTTGAAGGTAAACAACTTAGTTCTGTGAGCAAATATGCTTGTTCCAAAATTGTGAAATTTGTTGCTCTAGGGTCATGGGTTATAGTGTTGGGGGCTGAAGCTCCATTGATTTTATATATAGTGAAAATGCATTAATTCTTCTTCTTCCCTGCGCTTGGATATTAAGCAAAAAAGTAAGTGTCTAGTTATGATGAGAAGGGCTGTCTCTTTCAGCATTGAAAATTCCATGGCCCCTTCTAGTTAAGTGTTCTGATAGATGATGCTATATGTGTATTGCCCAAAGCAAGGGAAATAGGATAATCATGTCTGTTTGAAACTATTATTTGCCATATGTCAGTATGAAACTTGCATCAGTCAAATTACCCTGCACAACAAACAAACATATTTATAAAAAGAATGAATTCCATGATTAGGAATCAAAACTATTTTGTGCCATATGTCTGTTTACCCTGCAAACTGTTTTGTGTTCTCTGGTTATAGGTTATTCAACTATCAAATGACATGTGATGCCAAACGCTTGCATAAACAGCCAAATTGAATGAGAAGAGAATTTTGAAATACTTTTCAGTAAGACCGAGGTGTATTGTGAGAAAACGTTAGATTTATCTTTAATGAACATCATTTCTAAATACCTTGTAAATATGGGCTTTGTTATCGATTTGTTCTACAATCTAATATTTTTGTGAGACAAAACGCTAATCCATGCATATCAAATATTCAGTTAATAATTCATAAAGTTCGGGCGCAATTATAAGGTTTCCGTGAATTCTTTTTTGTCCTCACTCGATAACAATTTTCAATGCTGTCATTTATATTTCAATTAATATACTGCTTACAACTGTTTAAAATCCATCTTTAATTATCCAATACATCGATTAGGTGAATATTTTAAAAATGTTTTTCATGTATCTTCTACATTTTGAAATTATTGGACCAGGTTATGTGGTATTTTCGTTGCCTGATTGATACTTGTATATCTAAATTGTATTTTACCGGAAAAAATTAAGCTCCATATTCGAACTCCATCTAAAAGTAACCAAACTGTCTCCAAAATTCCTCAAACATAGGAACTCAACTTAGGAACGTTCATATTTATAAAATCGCCTGTGTGGTGCAGTGGTTATCTAGAGCGTCTGCTCTAGAGTCGTGGAGTAAGGAGTTGATCCTTACGCCGAGTGTTCGAATACAACTGTGGGACGAAGAGACCGGTCCATCGGTGGAGACCGTATAAACCGAGGTCCCGTGTCGCAGTAGGTGCTGGCACGAAAATTTTCCCTCCCTGCTCTGAATGGCCCCGAGTGCCGAGTATAGGACAAAATTTGTAGCTCTCCACCGGCAAGTGGAAGCGTCTCCATATGAGTGAAAAATTCTCGAGAGGGACGTTAAACAACAAACAAACATAATAATAAACAAATTTAAAGACTCCCATTGTTAAGAATAATTCAAGTCTGTTTTCAACTATTTTGTGCTCTATGTCAATATGAAACTTGCATCATCAAACTGCCCTGCAACAGACTGCGTACTTACTGTGTTCTATGGTTAAAAGTAAAAGATATTCTATCAATTGACATATGATGGCACATGACGCCAGAATAGCAAATGAAACATAAACAGTTTAAAAATACTTGAAAACTGCAAAATTGTTTAAATGAGAAGAGTATTAAGTCATACTTGGTAGAATGACAAAAATTCCAATTGATAGTATGGCAAAAATTCCAAGAACTATACTTAGTAATAGCCGGTGTGGCGCAGTGGTTAGAGCGATTCAGAGTAAAGAATAGATCCTTACGTCACTGTGCGACTCGGAGAAATAGAACATACAGTCGCGTGCCAAATTGAAAGTGACAAATTGGCTGAAGTGACATGTAGAGCTGTTAAAATTAGTCTTGTTCATGGCCATATATCTGTAAATCTAATAAAGGTACTTACACAAAATTGTCAGTACTTAGTAATGCATCCATTGACTTCCAGGACAGCTCGGACTCTCTTTGGTAAGGATTTATACAACGATTTTATATGTGTTGGAGTCATAGAGGTCCATATTTCTTATACATTGTCAATTAGGTATTTTCTGCCTTGTTTTTGAAGTTTTATTTTGACAGTTCTTCAGACATTTTCGATGATGTTTTCCACTACAAGTCTCCCTAAATATATGGACTGGTGCATTATCTTCCTGAAAGATATATGGTCTGTCCTGTTCATATTTGGCAATTGAGAACTGGCCAAAGATTTGCCTCAAGAATTTCAGTGTACTTTGTGGGGTTAAATTTTCTTTTCTGTAGATATTAATGTCCCAACAGCACCATAGTTGAGGCACCCCAAAACATTATCATAACACTTATCTGTGAAGTCTGTTGGTCACTGTAAATTCCAAGACAGCGTGATTTCCATTTTCCCTCATTTTTCTCCAAACAGAAAACGTTTGTTTTGTCTTTTTTTTCAAAACAATTTGAGTTTTATCAGAAAATATAGCTCAGGCCAAATTTCGATTTACAGTCCGGTGTAAATGAGATCTGCAAAAGATTCTGTGCTTAAGTCTATTCTGTGAAATGATGGTGGCCTTCTTCACTACTCTTCTGTGTCAGTGAAACCCATTTTCATGTTACTGGAGTATCTCCTTTAAATTTTGCGTTTGGATAGCTTCTTTGGTGTTTTTTAGCTCACCTGAGCCGAAGGCTCAAGTGAGCTTTTCTGATCAAAATTTGTCCGTCGTCTGTCGTTGTCGTTGTCGTCATCGTTGTCGTCGTCGTCGTAAACTTTTCACATTTTCATCTTCTTCTCAAGATCTGCTGGGCCAATTTCAACCAAACTTGCCACAAAGTATCCTTGGGTGAAGGGGATTCAAGTTTGTTCAAATGAAGGGCCAAGCCCTTTTCAAAGGGGAGATAATGATGAATTAATAAAAAAATTAATGGCATCTTTTAAAAATCTTCTTCTCCAGAACTATTGGCCCAGGAAAGATGAAACTCATGTGGAAGCATCGTCAGGTAGTGTAGATTCAAGTTTGTTCAAATCATGTCCCCCAGGGTTAGAGTGGGGCCATAATGGGGGATCAAATTTTAACATAAAATACATTGGAAAAATCTTTAAAAAGAATTCTTCTGAAGAACAGCAAAGCGATTATTGGTTATAGTTATATAGAAACACCCTCAGGTACTGAGTGATTCTGCATTATTGAATGCAGAATCAATTTTGTATAGTTTGTGTACGCCAGGAATAAAATCAACAGAATTTAAGGCATGAGTTTGTTTTTATTTTTTTCGATCGGGCGCGGTGTACCAATATCTGAAAACGAGGCTCACTCGCCATTTTTGATGTGGAGTTACTGAGTAGTGGAAGATTTTCTTAGAAACGCGGAACGGAAACAGAAATATTCATTGATCATTGCTGATTGTTGGTTTCATTATGTAAGGTTTGAAAAGTGCAGAATTTATCTGAATAATTACAACCTTTAATATATTTATTCATACAGCAGTGTTTCGGCGCAACATAATACTGCGCAGTTCATCAAGTCTCTCGGAGAAAAGTCTCACGGAGAAGAACAAGTCACTGCTACATTTTAATAGTGTAACAAGATTGAAAATTATAAAAAAATATATATATATATCATCTATTTATTTTAATATACTTAGTGGAAGGAAACGTTATAGTTTGTTTACAACATTAGTGCAAATCCTGGTTCTACCAGTCGTTTCTGAACCGATATGTTAATAATAAAGGATCCGGATAACTTATTGTCAATAAAAGTAATAGTACAACTTGTTTATAAAAGTTTGCAGAAAGGAAACTCCTACATATATCAGACATATATGCATGTGATTTTGTGTCAATCGTGCAGAAGAATATCACTACAGGTACCATTGCTAAAATAAAGTAGGCCTATAGTAAAATGTAATTAAAAAAAGATACCAGTAGAATAAAAAGATAATATAGATGTTCGTGTTGTTAATTATTGTTTTATGTGTTTTATATAATCAAGAGTCTAAATTAAATACAAAAAAATGATGATGAGGCATGCCATATGGTGGAATACATTTCTGTTCAAAATCCAATGTCAACTTCCTGTTTGTCTGTGCATCTGTCTGTTACATACATAAATTTTTGTGGCAGTTTTCTCAGCAACTACTCATCATAGATATTTGAAATTTTAACACAATCTTCCCTTAGGCATGCCATATAGTGGAATACATTTTGTTCAAAATCAGATGTCAGCTTCCTATTTTGTCTGTGCATCTGTCTGTTACATACATAAATTTTTGTGGCAGTTTTCTCAGCAACTACTCATCGTAGATATTTGAAATTTTAACACAATCTTCCCTTAGGCATGCCATATAGTGGAATACATTTTGTTCAAAATCAGATGTCAACTTCCTATTTTGTCTGTGCATCTGTCCGTTTCATACATACCAAATTTTCATTCAATTATTACAGTTTTCTCATCAACTACTCATTGCAGGTGCTTGAAATTTTAACACAATCTTGCCTGAGGCATGCTGTATGGTGAGATACTTTTGTAGAATACATAGACAACTATATAAGATATATTTTAAGATGTTATTGTTTTACAGTCCTTAAAAGATTTAATTTTGATTTTGAACCAAGATTATTAAAAGTTGAGTAAGTTTAAGGTCGAAAAGAAAAATTCATAATCTGTGTCCAGTCCATATCTT